CCCCTTTCTTTTCATAAATACTAATGGTAAGACAACGGTCAATGGGCTGGCAAGTGATCAGACTCAAAAAAAGGGGCCTTCAACTCTAATTTTTTAAATAATATTTAGCTTTTTTACCATAAAATGGGCACTGTACGCCAACGTCAAGCTGTTATGATGAAGCTTTCATCGTGGCATCTAAGGCCGCCTTGCTTTGTTGCTGAACTTAAGCTGACCCCTATAGACCGCAAGGTATGTGAGGCAGATGGTGACACCCACAGTTAACGGAGACGCAAATGCTTCTGAGCGTTCACTGCAGCAAACAGTTGCCTTAATTTTCCGTGTTTATTTTTTTATAAGTGGGATTCGCATTTATGTTAACACCATTCATTAATGCTGAGTAGTTATAATGGGTCATACGATGCAGCAAACACTTATGTTGCAGGAAGGGGGTTTGTATAGCGCAACCCATCGTGAAAGCCACCATCAGCAGATAAAACCCACCACAAACATCTACGTACCAAAAAGGTACCTATTACCAGCATCCCGGGGCTATCATCCCAGCCTTGCCCCACCAGACAATTTCTTTCCAGCCCAAATCTGTGATAATTTCTAATAATCTCCAGCCTTCCAGGTAATTTATTTCTCTTGTTTTGTGCCACTGACAAGAGTAAGTGTTTGAGACGTGTCGCCTCGACAAGAGCCCTGAATCTTCTGGTGTTTCATCAGCAATTGTTTGCAAAATTACAACCCTCACGAGGCAATCTGCTTGTGTAAATTGTCGAAAGAATCCACCAAGCAGAGCATTATGGCTGTCAATCTAAATTTTCTGTACTAAGGGACCTGTACAAAGGCTTCTGCCATTACCAGCCTTATGATTCTCTACCACTGAAAACCTCCATTAGGAAGGAGAAAGACGTACATTTGTGGTCAGACAAAAATTCAGGCTTGCAATAAACATAGACTTAAATGGCTGTGGGATCAATTTGTGAAGATGTGTGCTTATCTAACTGCAAGAATCTCATGAATAAAGTGTGTGTGTGGGGGGGGGTGAATCATATAGGGCTAAACTTCTTGTAAAGAAAGGGAAAAACTTTGTGACGTATTTTCCTTTACAATTGTAGTTTAACGTTCAAGCATTTTATGCTCCTGATGCATAAGGCTGATTTTGCCTATCTATCTATCTATCTATCTATCTATATCAAACATGTCAGTGTATATAAAATGTCATAGCTCGAACTTGATGGACTTGTGTATTTTTTCAACATGACTATGTAACTATGTATCTATATCTACAACCTCCTGTTGGTACCTATAAATATATGTTTGCACTATAAATAAAAATTAGACATCCACATTTCCTTAGTAGCACCCTCTCCACGCATATTTGTCTATAACACGACAACATATTTAACAGCGACTGCATCAATAATGACATCAAAATGCAATACAATCACACCTGGCTACTTTTTGACCTAAAAAGCCTCCAACACTCCATAATGATCGCCCATTACCTCTATCTGTTTTGTTGTTGATAAAAGTTTGAGATCTATTCTATTCTAGAATGCTCGAGAAAAAACTATGGCTTGCAACAGTAACAGATGATACAACCCAATACTCAGGCTACAACCAGTGCAGCATGAACGCCTTAAGATAAAGCACATTGCATAATGCTAATTCCGAAGCCGGCCTCACTTATAAAACACATTCGCTTTCATAGTTGTTCTTATATCATCACATCAACTGTTGCTTGTATAATGGAGTTTAGAGTCCTTGGGGGTTTTTTTTCTTATAGGCTCATTCTTATTCTAGCTTAGAAATATTGAAGAACGCTATCAGGGTAAGAACCTTCCTAAGACAAAATATTACAGAACACTATCAGGGTAAGAACCTTCCTGAGATAAAATATTACAGAACACTTTCAGGGTAAGAACCTTCCTGAGATACAATATTAAAGAACACTGTCAAGGTAAGAACCCTTCTAAGATAAAATATTAAAGAACACTATCAGGGTAAGAACCTTCCTGATATACAATATTAAATAACAATAACAGGGAAGAACCTTCCTGAGAATAAATATTAAAGATTACTATTAGGGTAAGAACCTTCCTGAGATACAATATTAAGGAACACTATCAGGGTAAGAACCTTCCTGAGATACAATATTAAGGAACACTATCAGGGTAAGAACCTTCCTGAGATAAAATATTACAGAACAATATCAGGGAAGAACCTTCCTGAAACAAAATAATACAAAACACTATCAGTGTAAGAACCTTCCTGAGATACAATATATTATAGAATCCTATCAGGGAAAGAATCTTCCTGAGACAAAATATATTATAGAACACTATCAAGGAAGAACCTTCCTGAGATACAATATTAAAAAACACTATCAGGGTAAGAACCTTCCTGAGATACAACATTAAGGAACAATATCAGGGTAAGAACCTTCCTGAAACAAAATGTTAAAGAACATGTTTAGGGTAAGAGCCTTCCTGAGATACAATATATTATAGAACACTATCAGGGTAAGAATCTTTCCTAGACAAAATATTACAGAACACTGTCAGGATAAGAGCCTTCCCGAGACAAAATATTAAGGAACACCATCAGGGTAAGAACCTTCCTGAAACAAAATATATAATAGAACACCATCAGGGTAAGAGCCTTCCCGAGACAAAATATTAAAGAAAACTGTCAGGATAAGAGCCTTTCCGAGACGTGAGCGTACAAAAATATGTTTGTTGTGTATGAATTGAGAGGTGCAGTTTGAGCTGCCTGGAGCCTGGAGTAAGTGTTATTGATTTTAAAGCAAGTGCTGAGATTATTGCTCTGAAACGCTGCAGGAGCAAAACCTGACTCAGTGACTATTCGCTACTCTGTTTACAGTTGTGTACGAAGCCTGCGAGCGTTGGACATGCATGAGTTCTGTGACACAAGGCCTTGTCTTGTTTTTGTGTATGTGTTGCTGGAACAATAAAGTTATGGTTATCTACATGTGAAAAAAAAGAAAGGAAAAAAACAGTGAAGGGAGAATGCCAGAAATTTTGAAAAAATAATCGAAAAACCAAAATAATATCCCGAAGTAGGGACGGTAAAGCATTGACGACAGAGGACTTGGGAAAGCAGTTTCTAAATATAACCTCAGCTACAACATATTACTCATCGCCTCGTCACCCAGCAAGCTCATCCTTCGTGCACGGTAAAGCTCTTCACTCTTGTGCACGATAACATTTGCACTCACAAAAAGGGCTACTCTAGGGCAATACGTACAGTGGAATGTTCCCAAGCTTACTGCTCGTAGATGAGAAGTAGGAGCCAGCCTTCGTTAATGCAACTTATGCATATTTCATGCCTCGTACAGTCACGTCAGCGGCTATAGGTTTCTATATTGTCGTTGACTCAGGAAGATCTAGATGCCAGATGGGAACAATGACGGGCATTGTGCTGTGCGAGGAGGTCACCATAGCTTGTAGTTGGCTTGTTTGTTTTTGAGGACTAAGTAGGGAACAATTTCGAGCTCTCTACCACGGCGCGGACACTAGAGGAAGTGCTAAGACATTTTTATCGTTACTACAATCATGTAACTTCCACATGAACGCTATGACATGCAGAGATGCACCTGCAGCTAGGAGGTTTCTCTGCTCCGATAACATATTGCTATTGGCTCGTTAATTAAAGCGATTGGTGCATGAGAGAGAAAAACAGAGGCCCCCTCGCAGTCGGAAGGATAAGTCTGTACGTTTTCGCTCACCCATCTCTCGCAAGCCTCCATTCATCTCTCCTCCTTCTCTGCCTTCCCATTCCCTTCGTTTTGCCCCCCCCCCTCCCTCGTTAAATCCTTTCCTCTGACCAGGATCCGTCGACAGTAATCAGCTTCTCCCGCAGACTGGGTGTCCTGAGTTTCCTCTTTGGACGATCCCGGGCTAGAGGTGGAGGTCACGGGAATGTCCTTTATGCTATGGCCTCGTAGGGAGCACTCCAGATCCGCTCTGCTTCCCTTGTCTCTGAGTCGCTCCGCACACGACGTGGCTGACTTGCCACACAGAGGGCTCCTCTCTTCGGACACTCCATCGCCCATACTAGTAGCCTGATCAAACATCAGGCGAAGCCCCCCCTTTAACCCCTTAGCTTGCCCCCTCCCCGTCAGCACCAGTTTGAGAAAGCTGATCCAAAAAAAAAAAGCAGAAACAACCAAACCACGATTCACACAGGCGGCAGAAGTCAGAAGCCAACTGCATAGAGGGCATCAGCTGAGGTTCCGTATAAGTATTCCACATAGGGCATGGTTGCCACCGTACACAAACGCAGGGTCCGCTCAGCAACGTTGGTCTTGGAAGGGTAGACGACAAGTAGCTCCCAGATGTGAATTTTTGTTTTCAGCAGCGATAAGAGAAATGGAAAAGAGGCATATATTATGGACTGTGAAGTGTTGCTGAGACTCTTGAAGAGTCAACTTATAAGAAGGTGATGCTTCTTCTCTGTTCTTTCTTGCTTTTTTTTTTTCTTTTCCAGCCAAGTATAAAGAATTGTGAATGAATGAAAGAAGGCGTTCCAGGTTTTTTTTTTTTTCCCCCTTCCTTTAAAGAGTTCAGAGTTTGACAGCCCAAATATTCTCCTTGGTGAAGAACTTCTGCAGTTCGTAAAGTCCCATATGTCAGAGTAGGTAGTGTTCCAAAGATACGATGAGCACTGTTCCCAAAAGCTGGTCTTGTGCCAGACTAAAAGCCCCACTTTACTTATTCCCTGACAGGTTGGACTTTGAAATATGATTGCGCTGGTAAAAGATCAATACTACTACAAAAAATATATATATATTGTAAGAGAAGAAGGAGGGGATGGAGAGGTGGGCATGGGGGGCAGTGGGTGGGAAGAGGGAGGAGGGAATTCCAGATTAGCAAAGCCTTGTCTATATGTTAAACTCTTCCCCTCTCCCTCCTACTCTGCGTTTTCCAGATAAGCTTAGGAAATACCTTGGGATCTCAGCCACATAAATGCTTCTGTTCAGAAAGGAGGTAGGTAGGAGGCATTTTTAAAATGAGTGCTTACTGCAATGCAATTTCCTGCTTGTGAAATGCCTGCAATTGATTGGTAAACAAAGAATCTATTTAGTAGAAGGCACTTGTATGTACATAAAAGAGGAAGGGGAGTGTGTGGTGGATAATGAAAGAAATGGCATCTCTTGAGGTGTTGCATTTCAAGTTTACGTCTTGAGTAAGCCGTTAACGCCTAACACTGCCATAGTATCGTAGTATTCAAAAACATTTATTAAGCTTTAATAGAAGCATGATGTCTGTC